CGTGGAGAGTTAGGGGTGGGGGTGGGATCCTCGTGGAGAATCCCGGCTGGTAGGTTTCTCTGTTCCTGGCGATCCGCTGTTCTGCGAACCGGTACCTGGTGTCTGCAACCGGTACCTGGTATCTGCGAGCGGCCCCCTGTGTCTCTGGGGCTCCGGCAGCCCCCGCCCCGCCGGCTGGCCGGCGGCTTGGCGCTCTGCTCAGGTGTAAATATTTTTCCACAGTTCTTCTAATGCTTTGATTTTCAAAAAGATGGCCACCATATCAGCAGCATGCTCATCACCAGAGAACTTACAAGAACTGTGAATTCTTGAGACACATCAGCCTGCTGAATCAGAAACTCTGGGCTAGGCAGGGCCTAGCTACCTACGTTCTAAAAGATTGTCTAGGTGACTCCGAAGTAAATGCACAGTGAAGTCCAGCTTGTGAAGAACATTTTTTACTCATACATCCTGGTGTTTCCTCTCATACCATTATCTATTATTGGAGACAAAGTCTCATGGAAGGCTCATATAACCCAGGAGCAGTACCTCTTTCAATTCAGGTTTAGACAATATTGCTGTTAGCTGGGAGTCATTTTAACAAATTTCCTAGTGTATAGGGAGATCTAAATACATTACTAAAGAGAGCTTAACAGAACAATAAGAAAATTCTAAATTCTGTGCAAATGATATAACATTACTGTGAAATTAGGATGCTATATTTTCCAAGTGAGAGGAATATTACAAGGCCATGTCTGATTTGCTATTGCTATTATATAATTATATAATTGAAGAGCCTGCTCTGTCAAATTGTAAAGTAGTGTAAATCACAACCATGGAGCAGAAAATGAGACAGACTAAGCTACCTAGCAATTTAGGCTAATGAAAACACTGATTTTACAGCCTATGACATTGCTCACGTTATTCCTCAATAGTCACAAGTCTACATAGGCTCCAATGGCATGCCAGTCTCACTAATAAATGATCATGCTACATTATGTCTCTAAGGAGCCCTGCATCTTGTATATACATTTTTCTAATTTGGAGAGGGGAAGGGAAATAACAAAATGCTGAAATAAGCATACAGGTTGATAACAATGAGATGGACAAGACACTATGTTGAAAATGAACTTTACAACTTGGTGGGGGGGAGTTGGGAGATGGGGAGGGAAGGGATGGTAGGGAAAAAAACAAAGGAGGCGATAACAATGCTCTATAGGAAATGTAACCTTACTCATGTAACTTAACTCATTACAGTTACTCATGTAACTGTCACCCCTCTATACAGTGGCTTTACAATAAAAAATATATATTAAAAAAAAGATGCTACTTTCCTTCAGAGTTAACAATTTAAACCATTTTGACACTACTTCTTCTTTTTTTTTTTTTTTTGGTCGGTCATGGGGCTTGAACTCTGGACCTGAGCGCTGTCCCTCAGCTCTTCAGCTCAAGGCAAGCACTCTACCACTTGAGCCACAGCGCCATTTCCTTGACACTACTTCTTAAGTGGTGTTAAGTATACTCAAGTTTATGCGAATGTATTAAAGGATTAAATTCAGTCTTGAGTCTAATTAGTTTTTTTCTTTTTTTGTATGTTTTTTATTGTAAAAATATTGTACACAGGAGTTTCAGTTACATGAGCAAAGTAATGAGCACATCTCCTGTTGAGCATTGTTGCCTCCTCCTTTGTTGTGGAGGAAGGAGGGAAGTGAGGGGAAACAAAGGAGGAGGCAACAATGCTCTAATTAGTTTTGACAGGACTCAGTAAGAACTTTACAGAGCATATGTATCAATTTTGATAATTTCATATATTAAATAGTGATATGTTTTATTGATATAGTGGTTTATTAGCATCACAACATCTTCTCGTACTTATATCTTTTTATCTTCAGAGAAAACCTGTGAAATAAACAAAAGAGGTGATTTTTTCCATCTAGAAAACTAAAGCAAAGAGAGAAGTGAAAACCCAAAGTCACAAGGCAAAGCCATGACTGAGCCAAGATCCCAAGTCAGTCCTTCTAATTCCTGTACCAGGCCACACTGCACACCATTCAATCTCTATTTTTAACAACCGGTTATTTTTAAATCTCTGGTTATCTATTCAACTTAAGTCATGGAATATTCATAATAAATCTGTTTGGATCATGGTAACATTAATTTATTCATAACTTTAGAATGCTAATACTCAGCACTTGTCTTTTTATTAATTTCTAAACCTCTGTTATCTTTGCAGGTACCACTGCTTTGTATTTGTTCCTGGTTATGCATCCTTCCATCCTTAGTAACTCCCCCAGCCCAAAAACCTTTGAGGAGGTACAGTTCTTTAATAGAAATAACTACCACAGGGGGATTGATTGGTAAGATGGGTTATTAGTATAAATCTAAAAGTATATGTACTGTGTACACCATAAACCTAGTGATAATATTTAAAAGCACATAGTTTATAACTATGGATAAAATTTGTCCTCTATGCCCTGGAAATTCGTTGAGTGACATAAAGGAATACAAGAGTCATTCACTACCAGCCCTTCTCAGTTCATGAAAGGATTTATTGAGAGGCCCATGTGTAATTTCAATTGGCCTTAATTATCTTTGATGGTAATTATAGATGGGAAGTCAGAGGAATAGCCTAATACCAGAATTTCATTTTTCTCTACTCACAGAAATTCATTTCTTGCCTTACCCCTGAGCACTTCTCATTTGACAATGCTGTGACCCACATGTATAATTTTTTATTACATAAAAGGCAATTAAGACAAAGTAAATAGAAACATAAGTATGTTTATATTTCATCAGTAATTCAAACTATTAAAAAGCTATTAGCAATGTGTAAAATTTAATTTTTGCCTTTCCACTGAAATTAGAAATATATTAAGCATCCAAAGAAAATAGAGTAAAGAAAAAAAAGAAGATATAGACAAACCATATAGTAGAAATGGATGTCACAAACCCACATGCTTATCATAGTATGTGTCTAGAGGCATTCTATTAATCCAGAACAATGTGGCATAAAAAGGTTTGATTCTTACAATATAAACATATTTTGCATTCAGTTTTGCATAAGGAGCATGTACGTTACCCTCCATTGTCAAATAGCATGGTCTCAATTTTAGTAGAAGTAACAGCCATTTCAAGGGTTGCATGTGGATAATCTGAGTTGAAAGAGAAAGAAATAGAATAGAATTTGAATACCTACTAAGATTTATGTATATTTCAGTTGTATAGTTTACAGTACTGCCAGTTCTTTCCTAGTGTGCTTGATATTGATTAACTGTGGGTTATTAAATAACAGTGGGGAGAATCAAGAAATCACCACTATTTGACTCTTGACTCTAATTTTAATTTATATATATAATTTTATCCTATCATATCTAAATATGTATATGTGTGTATATATAAAGGTATATAAAAACATATTTACACAATACATATATGTCTAAATATGTGCATATATTTAAATGTGTATATGTGTGTATAAGTACATATATATGTAATAGAATAAAATCTTAACATCCAGACTAGAAGAAATGATTAAAAACTTCTTTGGACATAGAAGCAAGTAAGTCTTTGGGACTTAATAATTATAGGCATAATCATAAATTGTATAAATTTTTCATAAACTGTATCAAATAAGAACTTTTTGTTCACAAGCCAGGAATAGTATATATGCACTACAATAATAATAATAAGTCCTTTAAGCAATTTATAGGAGATGGTATAAGTGAATATAAAGCAGAAGTTCAATAAGATTTTAAATATAGCTCACTAAAACTTCCCTAAGTCCTAACACTTTTGATTGACAAATTGCACATCTATAAAAGGCAGTTAATGCAGATAACAAATAATGGTAACTGCAAATGTCAATTTTCAGCAGTAATTGCTGCTTTGCTCTCAGTCACATTAAATGTATTCACAGCCAGACTGTGAATACAGCTTGGCCTCTCTGGGAAGCATCAGCCTTGCCTGCTTCCTTTTGAAAGCAAGATCCCACAGGGTTGAAGGTTAGGTGTCTCAGAGGCTCTAGGGACATTTGAAGAATTACCTCAGGAATAGTTAATGTGGCTGCCTAAACTGATAAGCAGCCCTAAGCATGAACCAACCAGGAAACTGCATCTTTGACAAAAATCTCCAATGTTTGCAATCAGAAGCTCTCAGAAATAAAAGAATATTTGATTTATGTGTGCATGTAAGTTTTATGTATCACTATTTTAATTGCACAGGAGTGTTGTAGATAGTTGGGTGGTCTATGGAAAGCTGTTAGATCCTGTTAACATTGAAGACTCTACAGTCGTGACTGGATTATGAGTAAAAATCAATTTAAAATACTTAAGGCTAATTACAATTATGAATAAATTTTATATACCACAAAACTCACTTCTTTCAACTTGAAAAATAAAGCTGAGTTGTTACATGTTATGGAAGTAGCAAAGTTTAGGGGAGATCGCACTTACGTGTAACCCTCAAATGATATACCCACTCTATAATGCTTGCATGGTTCTTTGCATACTTGAATATTCAATCTCCAAAACAAATATAAATAAACCTACTTAGGGAAATATCTAGTCCCATCCTGAAAATTCCTAAATTCCTTTTGTTTTCTTTCTTGTTGATCAAACATTTTTCAAGTGTCTCTAAATTTCAACCCGCATGCTAGAAAAATGTGAACATACAGACAAACAAAAATTGATATCAAGCCTGGCGCTGGTGGCTCACGCCTGTAATCTTAGCTACTCAGGAGACTGAGATCTGAGGATCGCTGTTCAAAGCCAACCTGGGCAGGAAAGTCCCCGAGACTCTTATCTCCAATAAACCACTAAAAAAACCGGAAGTGGCGCGGTAGCTCAAGCGGTAGAGTGTTTGCCTTGAGCTGAAGAGTGCAGGGACAGCACCTAAGCCCAGAGTTCAAGCCCCATGACTGACCAAAAAAAAAAAAAAACTGACCTCACATTCTCTGCAAGCCACTGAAGCCAGGCAAAAATCTACCTGCTACAGGTCCAACATCCAAACAACTTCTAGAGATCCTCACAGACAAAACTACTCTGGATATAAAAGACTTCTGGGATGTCAAGGCCACTTTTAGAAGCTGAAAGTTGTCTAATGTTTTAGCATACCTCTACTCTCTTTTTTGTGATTTTTGGGGGCCCTTCTCAGAATGTGGATCAACTAGGGTACCACTCTTGAACCCAGAATCAGCTCTTAAAGAAGAACCTGAAATGAGTCACAGAAATCTAGGAATAGAATGCACAGCAGAAGAGATAGCAAATCTAAGTCTTCCATCTGAAAGGATGTCAGAATGCCCTGTTACCAGTCATGCAATGCCCGGAGGACATATAAAAAGATTTCTTTACTTCTCTGAGTCTGAGACATCACCTTGTGGCAACAGTTCTATTTCACAATGTAGTAACAACTGGACTCCTACCAGGAATTTTATAATGTGCAATGACAACATCTCACAGTTCAATACTGTGAAAATAGCCATGATCTTTTGGCCAAAAGCAAACATGCCATCAAAAGAAGTCATCCCATGAATTCTAATGATTGTCTTGGTTGCTTGCCTGAAGTCATGGTGGCTTAATAAACTGAAGGGGAAGGTGTTAACATTATTATAAAGTCTAAAAATCCTTACAAGTGAATTTGTATAGTTCTTCTATAACAAAGCAATTTTTTTTTGCTCTAAAAGATATCCCTTCAAGCTCCAGAAATGCATATTACAATATGCTTGTTTCGTTGCACCTGACAACTGTTCTGCAGGTGGAATGTTAAGCATAACACTTCATTTCAGGGCTTGAGCCTACAGGTGTCCGTGCCTGTGTGTTTACTGCCTGTGGTCTGAAGTCTCAGCACACTTAAGGATGGCCTTGGATTTTTGATAAGCTTTTATAATTTGAAATATATACGTACTTTTCAAAGCTTTCTGTAATTTTTCTGAGATATAAATAGCTCTGTATGAAAATATTTAAGCAAAGAGATATGCTCTGTTCTTTGACATTCCATGATTAAATATAGAGTTAGCACAGCACACTCATGGAAATGAACTTGTTTTACTGTGACTTACAAAAACTGCCTAAATTTTATTTGATTTGGGCACTGGTGGTTCACGCCTATAATCCTAGCTACTCAGGAGGCTGAGATCTGAGAATCACAGTTCAAAGCCAACCACGGCAGGAAAGTCTGTGAGACTCTTACCTCCAATTAACCACCAGAAAATCAAAAATGGAGCTGTTGCTTAAAGTGGTGGAGCATTAGCCTTGCAAGGCCCAGACCCTGAGTTCAAGCCTCACAACTGTCAAAAAAAACCCAAAAAGTTGAACTGAATATATTCTTTTGTTTTTCTGGTGGTGGTGGTGGTGGTGGTAGTGTGTGTGTGTGTGTGCATGTGCGCGTGCATAAGCACCAGTATGATGGCTTGAACTCGACTTAGAGTTCTTGCTTAGCTTTTTCACTAAAAGCTAGCACTCTACCACTTCAGCCACACCTCCACTTCTGTCTTTCTGCTAGTTAGTTGAAATAAGAATCTCACAGCTTTTCTGGTTAGCTTCAAACCATCATATTCAAACTTCAGATCTCAGCCTCCTGAGTACCTAGGATTATAGGAATGAGCCACCAGAGCCTACCTATGTCCTTTGTTGTGATCAATTTTTTATTTTTCTTGGAATACTTACATTTATATCTGTATGGTATTTCTGAATTTAAATACATTTTATGGTTTGGTTATTATGGCAATTGTGATCACTGTGTCTATACTTTTGTTATCACATATCTTTTTTTCTGTTATTAAGAAAAATGAAAAATTATTCAGAAAAAGGATTTCCAAATCCATTATTAATGTTCTGCACATGATTCCCTTGCTAACTATGGAGAAAAAACATCTTTTAAAAAAAGGGTTTTATTTAGGAGATAAATGATTTTGTAGAATACCTAATGTCTTCAGTTAGCAGGATAATGTCATCAGACTTAAAATGTCTTTAGTTAATCAGTCTTATTTTGAGAAAAATATTCGTTTTGTAGGTACATGGATTTCTTCCCAGTTCCATCCAATGTCACCACTGACTTTCTGTTCGAGAAGAGTGCCAATTATTTCCACTCAGAGGAAGCTCCTAAAAGAGCTGCTTCTTTGGTCCCCAAAGCCAAGATCATAACTATTCTCATTGACCCATCAGACAGAGCATACTCCTGGTACCAGGTAAGGAAAAGACAGAACGCATCAGGGGAAAGAAATGCACTCGAAGGGTTCCTTTTAGTTATACCCACCATCTTGAGTTTTAACAACAACAAATACACCTGTATAAGCCTTATCCCTGAATAAGCCCAATTTCTCTGTAGTTATAAAGTTTGTATTAATTTGGTCAATTTATTTAAGAAATTATTCATGCGGTAAAGAAATTAAACTGATACGTTGAATTGAAACCCCTTTATACAGCTACTTTAAATAATTTAAAAATTGTGTATAAAAAATAAAGCAATTGCAATGCATAAAGTAGTAGTGTGTTGCTGGGCACTGGTAGCTCGCACCCACAATCTTAGCTACTCAGAAGACTGAGATCAGAGGATCATGGTTCAAAGTCAGCCCAGGCAGAAACTCTCTTCTCCAACACACACACACACACACACACACACACACACACACACATTTTTGTGAAGGTATATGTCTATTTCTTTAAAAAGTAAATGTTTTAATAATTTAGAGTCTTTTTATTAGTCAACTTTTTGTATGTGCCATAATGACATGACAGCAAAAATTCAGCAGCTGTGTGTTTTATGGTCCTTGTTGTAAGTCTGCCATTGTATTACAAAAGTGGCTGTGATGATCTGTGTCTCAGGAACTCTATAGAAACTGAGTGCAGATCACAGGATGCTGACCTCAGCTCTCAAAGAACTTAAGTAATGTTTGTACTGAAGAATCAATTTAGTAATAAAGCATATACAAAAATTATTCCATCCTGAAATCCCCTAACTTGTCTAAGCCTACTCTTTTCCTCATATATTTATTTTCATTATATTCCTGATGTTGGTTTGAACGTAGCATGGAAACCATCACTTTGATACAATAACAAACTTTAATTATACTCATAAAACATATTTTTTACTTTAATAAACCATGAATAATAACTAGGAAAAAAGAAAAACCTCTTCTAGTCATTTTCATTGTTGCTGTACTAGGGCTGGAACTCAGGGCCTACTTGTTGTTCTTTGAATTCCCTGTGTTCTTAGTGACTCATGCAGCTCAGATCTCCACACCGATGTGAATTTAAACCGCTAATTTCATGATCATTATGATACTAGGGAATAAAGTTCCTCAGCATAGAGGTCTTCAGCCAGAGTAATAGTCCCAGGATTCTCAAGTGAAAGAACAGAGGTTCTGTGTCAAGGACAGAGTGGCGACTGATCTCAATAAAATCCTAGATGGTACATAGGTGATAATCTAAATAATAGGAGTGGAGACACCCTGGAAAGCTAAGATCCAGAGAAACCAATAATTGCACCCTAGTTATTCATGCCAAACATAAAGCCATCTTTTAAATAAAAGTATACATCCACTTTCATTCTGGCAGATTTGATTTTTGTGCCTTTTACCTTTTCTGTCAAGTATCTCAGAGAAAAGAGAACGAAGGTCTAATTGACTCAAAAAGAGAAATAAAAATTGGAGCGTGGCAACCACTTAGCCCCTGAAAATTGGGAATTTACAGAAAAGGAGGTTTCAAGGCTAGAAACTAACAAAACAGCCCAAATATTAAAAATAAATCACTCTCCAATGGCAAAATGCAAGCCTTAACAAATGTACTAGAGTTTGTAGTACAGTAATTTGAATCCCAATTGCAGCAAATTTGCTATTCAACTAGATGTGGTAAACATCCACAATCTCACCACTAAGCCTGAATGTTTATTGCTCAATTTAAGGAAAAAAGGTGATTTTTTTTTCTCTTAAACCCATGGGCCTGAGCCTGAGCCATTATGAGATACTTTCAGGTTTGGATTGCTGCTTTCTACATTTTCTGTATAATAAATTATTCTTATTCACCACAAAGGTTGCCATTAGATAAAATAATCTTGGCTTTTAGATGCTAGGGTATGATAAAAGTTGTGGATTTCGGATAATGCACATGTCGAGAGTTTTCAGTAGTTTCTCCATTTATAATAGCTGATAGGGCTTTTCTAATTTAAAACTGTGTTAGTAGGTAGAGCAAGAGCTAGTAGAGTGCTTGTGTATTATGGATATTCATGGAACATGATAAATGATTTGTTTCTGTGCCAAAAAGGAGAGAGCTAAGCAGCTTTCAAAAATTTACTTCCAGAATAAAATACAGACAGCAAGGAAACAACTCTGTGAAGTTGGTTAAAGAAGCTTATAAAAAAAAAAAAGGCAGTCTCTAATATGTAAATTCTTTTAAAAAATATACTCCAAGTGTCATAACTTTAAATTTTGATGCTCCAAGCGAACAGTTTCACCCTTTATTAATTTCAAAACAAATAGCTCTCCAGCAGAGAGGACTCCTTCCTTTCGCTCTGAGTCTTGTCACACACACAAAAAAATGGTTTTTCATTATTTATGCCTCTGGTTCAAGTCAGCTTAGTTTGCCGCCTTCTCCTCACAGCACCAGCGATCACACGAGGACCCTGCGGCTCTCAAGTTTAGCTTCTACCAAGTCATTACTGCTGGGCCCCGGGCACCGCTGGAACTCAGAATCCTACAGAAGAGATGCTTGGTCCCGGGGTGGTATGCCAGCCACATCGAGAGATGGCTTGTTTATTTCCCCCCATTCCAGGTACGAGGCAGTAAGAATTTTCATCATGTAACAACCTCATTAAGTTGATGATTTTGCCTCAAGGACACAGGGAGTTTTAACTCACTAAACCATTACTCACTTCTACACATTAGTTGTAAATAATGAGACTGTGGCAAAGAAAAATAGGCAGAGGGAAAAAATGGTTTAATTTTCTTTCTAAGAGTATTTCAGGATAATTCTCCCTGCTCCATTTTCTAGTGCAAGTCTTTCCTTGTAGAGTTTCAGAAGTTTCTAATTTCTGATACTTATTCTGATGTGAATAAAGCTTGAAATGACAAGATAAATATTGTTTTGTTTAATTAAGTGCCATTATTTTCCTTCTGAACCAACTTTCTGAACTTTTCATAAATCCCAAGTTTTTGGGTTTTTTTTTTCCCCTCAGATTCCTAGCTTCTCTTCTACTCAACATCAAGTTAGAATACAAACTCAGTCTGAAAGTGGCGCTGTGGCTCAAGTGGTAGAATGTTTGCCTTGAACTGCAGAGAGAGAGAAGCCTTGAACTGCACAGAGAGAGAACACGCCCAGGCCCAGAGTTCAAGCCCCACAACCAACTTAAAATAAAAACAAAACAAACACAATGGAATTCTATGCCTCCATCAGAAAGAATGACATTGCCCCATTTGTTAGGAAATGGAACGGCTTAGAAAAAATTATATTAAGTGAAGTAAGCCAGGCCCAAAGAAACATAGGTCCCATGGTTTCCCTTATTTGCAATATCTAGTATATGTCTGTGTCAAGCAGAAAAGGTCAGATAAGG